CTCGGGATGATCGTAACTGATGGTTAGGGACACTGAGTGATATGGCTGTGTGCCGTAAACAGTGGTGTTCTTGCATTGTTTCAATTTCTTTGCAACATGAGTCCACTGAAATTCTCAATCTTCTCCTCAGATCTACTTTCAACTTTCCTGTCTAGTTCCTGATATTAATTCAAATGGGCAGCGAAAAGACAACAACCAAAACCGGCTCAGGAAATTGCATGGTTGTAAAAACTGGAACTGATCAAAATTTTTCAACTTTCTGATATCCCTTTACTCATACTTGTAGGCGACTGGGATTCTATCAGTTCAGTTTTACAACCATTAACCATGCACTTTCGTGCGCGGGTTTTGGTTGCTGTCTTTTGGTTGCCCATTTGAATAAAAAAACGAAATGAAGATTGGAATGTCGAAGCAAATTCAAGCGGAAGATGGGGAATATATATAGAGTGAGATGGGGAATACATATAGAGTGTGTTAGGAAAGTAAAGAGCGGATGCACGAGCGCCACTGTTTGCGACACCCAGCCATATCACTCAGTGTCTCCAATCATCGGTTAGGATTATCCTGAAGGCCCCAGCCAGGAAGCCTAACGGGACCTATGTGACCCAGTCCCCTGGTCAGGGTTTTCATACCCTCATGCCAGGTCTTAGCTTGACCGCCCTTCGTTTATTTCCAATCGCTACAAACACTGTTCGCCGTGGCAACCTATCTGGTGACATACGTAGCACATGTCCCAATCAGCGTAATCTATGGAGGTCGATCACTTGTTCCAGTGGACGACCGCGACTGCCTAAAACTCTACGCCTAACCTCAGCATTCTTAGTCCGGTTACCCCACCAAACACGTGCAATGCTACGTAGACAGCGGTGTTCGAACACCGACAATCTATTTTTATCCTGTTCCCTTAGTGGCCAAGTCTCTGCACCGTAGAGCAGGACTGGTCGAACTGATGCAGCATACACTCGACCCTTCACAAACAGCCGGATGTCGCGCCACAAATGTCTATAATGCACTAGGTAGCTTCTTTCGTCACCGGTGATGTTAGTCGAGGTTGTCCTATTATGTCATTCCAGTTCAATTTCTACGTAGACTAAGAAGGTACACGAAAGTGCATGGTTTATGGTTGTTCAAAATGAACTGGACTGATCATTTCCTCGATCACGGCGAGGTTGGGGACTGGGCCGATCCAGTCTTGTAGGAACTTTTTGCACTTTGAAGGTGCAAAAAGTATACCAAACATAGATTTACTAGCATTCAAACTATCCGGTAAACTTGTAACTTACCTGGATCTTCATTTAGTAGCACAATGTGGTCCGCATACTTCGGATCTGTTATCTTAGGTCAAATCCATACTACTATCGTAGTATGAGGTTAGGACTATTTCTATTATCAAATCTATGAAGAAGTTAAATAGAAAGGAGGGAGGGTGCAACTATGACGAACACCACTCTCTGTAATCAACTTGGATGAAAAAGTATCGTAAGCTTAGACGCCGCTTGTGCTGTTACCATAAAAATATCGCAAAATTGAAATGACCTTATCAGGCACACTTCTCAGGGAGAGGCAGCCCCAGAGTTTGGAGCGGTCGACTGAGTTAAAAGCCGCTTTTAGATCAAGAAGTATAGAAATTATGGGTCTACGAAAGGAGTGTCTGTGTTTTGGATTGTGACGAAGAGTAAATATGTGGTATATACAGCCTCTACTAGGTCTAAACCGAGCCTGGTACTTACACGTGCGCTGCTCACGAACGACAGATAATCGACGGAGTATGATACCGGCGAAGAGTTTAGAGGCGATATTGATTAAACTAATTCCTCTGTGAGTTTCACAAGAGGATCTGCCACCTTTCTCGTAAATCGGTATGGTTAGTGACTCACACCATTCAGTTAGAATCTGTTCCCTCTCCCCCATGGACCCCAGGAGTTTCGTTAACTACAAAACTATGAGTGGACCTACATCCCTAAAACCCGATGGGGATATCCCGTCCAGGCAGGAAGCCTTATACCTTTTGAGGCAGTTTACTTCCCGAGTAACCTCCATCTTAGTTGAAGGGCTGGTGTCAACTGGAAGTATTTACACAGTTGAAGCATGTAGAAGGAGGTTTTGTGTCGACAAGGGCCAGGTGAACTGTGCCTTGAAATGTTCTGCCTAACGTTTAAGTAGGCGTTCCTGAATTTGAATTAGTTTGCAATCAGATTCCTTAATTACCTTGCGTCCGCATTCCTTGGTCCCATACTCCTAATTAAACGAAAAAGATAGCGACTATTACCGATATCCTCAGCCTGCTCATCTCTTATCCACCACCTATCGAAGTTATTCCTCAGACTCTTGCTGAGCTGGCTTTTAAAGGATTTGTGCGCTGTCGTAAGTTCAATCAGAAGGAATGCTTTTTCGAGCTTCCAGCAGGGCCCCCAAAGCTGGGGAGATCCACCGTTTTTGTTTTGGTTAAGTGCCAGAATTCGCCATTATTGTGAGTGACATTCAGATTGCTTCTTGAATGGCCGTCCAGTGTTTACTGAATCTTTCGACCGATA